ACCTTTTATAAGCCTCGTGCGACAGTTGTTTTGGGGTTACTACTTTAGAAACTCCTTTTGCCTTTTTTCAAATGTTGTTGCTCCGTGAAAATGGAGTACATTTTTGGAAGTGGCAAATGGCTTTCAATATCACTTGACCACCAAATTTGTCTTTCATCTTTTCAGTTACTCTTTTTTGTTTTTCGGATTGTAAAGTATATGATCGGGCAGGTAGCTGCTCAAATCGATTAGGTCACGGTTTTTACGTAGGTAATTGTTTAAATCGTCGGTTTGAATCTGTCTGTATCGCTATACAAAAGGCAAGCGTCCGAGCCACAGCTGCTTTCAACTCTTGGTAGTAAAAGTCGTACATAAACGTTTTGGATAGATCGAGCACGCTTACGCTGCAGTAAATGGGCTTATTCAGCTTTGTTTTAATTAATGTACATTTCGACAAATGCGAAATTGCACTTTTTGAACGGAGCGGTCGTTTTATAGTGTGGTTTAGAATTTAAACGCCTGAACCAATCGGCGTCTTATAGATCTTTCAGCAGGTGTCCGTTGATACGGAACCTCAAGTTTTCCATCGTCTTACCAAATACCGAGTTATTCATTAACTTGAAGAAGTTCTTTTCGAAATCAGATTTGGCTAACTTACGCAATTCGGTTTTTTTTTGTCGATATAGCTTTTCATCCAAGGTGCCTGCTCAAAAGATATTACGCAGTGAACCTCTTTTAGCTGTAAACCACACTTTAGGTACTTTTGCAAAGTTTGATAGCAAACCACGTATTTGTGTTTAGTGCCCAAAGTCGCTATCAGCTTGTCTACGGAGGTAACTCTTTCTCCGCTCTGAATCAAGTTACTTTGGTAGTCTGAGAGCCAATCGTTTAGCACCAATAAGTTTTCGGTTGCTACTGGAAAGTCGTTGTGTAAGTCGTGTAAGTGTTTCGGCTAATCCAAGGTGACTTCGAGGATATAACCTTTTGAAGCTGGTCCTGGGCAAGTCCCGGAAGAAAGCTTTGAAATGAAGTAAATTGGTCATGTCTTGAACCCATCGAAAGTTTCGGACAGGTAACGGCTGACTCATTGCCCACCCATACAAGTTATTCGCGTCCAGGTTCAAAATGTAAGACTTCGGCTTGTTAGGGTCGTAGTCTTTTAAATCTGGATTATTGGCTTTTGCGTAACGTTTTGCCCCGACGCTCGAGATGCCGCCTCTCTTCCATGATAGGCCCGGCGATGTGTAGTAGTTGGCTGGGTCTAAACCGTAGTTCTTTTTACAGACATTACGGAAGTTTTCAAATACGGCTGCTAAAAGCAAAGTGTCCGTTTCGACGTAGAGATCGTGATAGTCTCCGAGATGTTGGTAGTCAAACGTTTTCCATACATTTTGGGCTCTTACGTGTTCTTTTGTAACGGACTGCTGCTTTAACGAGCTATAAAAAGCGTCTAGTGAGGCAGACCGGTTTCTTGAAATCGGTCAAAGGAGTCGATGTATTTGTAAGAGTAAATTCCAGTGATGTAGTCGAGTACTTTTTGAGAACCAAGCTCTCTACCAAATATTTAACTATTTAGGAGGGAACAAAGCTGAAGTACATCGGTATTTAATGATACATGCATAAAGGTAAGATTACAAAGCAACAAAATGACTTCAGACCATCACTGTTTGATAAAAATTAACTTTTTAGGACATAAGTACTCGGAAAGTACTCGGCCGAGTACTTTCTGAGTACTTTTCTCCTAAAAACTTAAATTTTACACAACTGGGAGTGTCTGAAGTCTAACATTTATTTTGTAATCTTACCTTTTCACCTTTACCATCAAATGCCTGTGCACTCTGGCTTTATTCCCTCTTACCCAGTTCAGTATTTTGCGGAGAACTCGGAAAGAACTCGACTACAACACTGGTAAATTCCCTTTTCTAAAAGCAGGTCCGTGTTATCTGGGAGCCTTTCGCGAAGCAGGTTAAAATCTTCCGGATAACAGTTTTTGACTAATCGATCGAGCGAAGCATCCATGAAATGGAACGAGTCGAGGAACCTAAGCTGGTTAAAAGAAAAAGAAAAGTAGGTCTCAGTGTTTGGGGCAATGGTTTTGATTTCACCTCCGTTGAACGTACGAGCTCCTTGCATGATTAGATGTGCGTCATTCTTCTCCAAGTTGTGTACAATCACGGGAACAGGTGTTTGATTTGGCACTACTCTTAACTTGAGATTGCAATGGGTATATGCAGGACCTCGGTACTTGCCCGTTACGTGACAATGTTCGCGGACTTTTCTAACCTTCTTAATGGGTTTCTCGCAAGTCATGCAAATGAAGTCTCTGAGACCACGGTCGTTAAAGAACTAAAGGCTACCTTTTCGCCTTTAGTTTTTGGTTCGTCCGGGATTGGGCATCGGCACCGGAATTCTCTAGTTTGGTAAATTGGCCTTTCGCAAATCCAGCATAGGTTGCATTAGCAACCAGGAGTTTCTGCAACTCGTGTGACCAGGCTTTGGATCGGCAAATGTCTCGTTAACTGTGTGAACTTCTCTAGATAACGACTTTACAAAATGGGTGGCCGCGTCTTGACCTCTGTTCGTTTCGGGACTGGTACCTACGCCGTCACATCTAACGACCGCGTAAGAATAGCCGCAGGCTTTGTGGTGTTTTACCTTGACCGTGTTTAATGGTTCTGGAGGGAGAGGCTCTAAAACAGACTCGAAATCTGCGTAAATTACAAACGGAGTGTATTGCTTGTTCTTGTAGTTTTCAAACTTGAGCATGTTTTGACCCTTTAAAGGTAACTCTACTTTGGAAGGCGCCGTGTCCATTCCTTGACAGTCTTCTTTGTGTCTGTCGAGTCTTTCTTCCGTTTGAAAGTGAGATAGGCAATTAAAACACCAGTACGATTTGCCGTCTTGTTTGTTGACGTCATCCATTAACCAAGAACAGTTCTTAACCCAACAGTACTGGCTCGTTGATCGGATCGCCTGTGTATTTAGTTTTGTAAAGTATATAGACTCCTTCTTTCCCCGTGTAACCGAATACGTTGATTGCCAAGTTGTTTTGTGCTTCGATCCGTGGAATCTGCGACAAGGGGTGGGAAAGTCTATGTTTTTAAAGTTTAAACCGTCGTCTGCCGTATACGTCGAAGTTCTTTTCAAGTTTATTTTGTAATTTGGATCGCTTTCGAGTTGATGTATAACGTTGTCTGAATATAATCCTAGAGCGGGTCTCAACACCCAGCGAATGCACTCTGAGTCATTTTTGTTTTGAACGTTGATAATTGCAGTCTTAACAGCTAGTTCTTTAGGCAACGACATGTAAGTCGCTCCTACGGGCTTATACCGAACCACGTTGATGTAAAACGCAATGACTTTATAAAACATCCAGCACGAGCCTCTCTGTTCGTGAGCTTCATCGTTTTCAAGATGTTTTGCTATTTGTTCCTTCAAGACATACTTGACTTCTGTTTAGAAATCACCACGTTATTCTTACTCGTAAATGTGAAAACACCAAATTTAGTTTCATTTTCCATTTTGAACTTTACTTTTATAGCCGTTTGCAACTCGTAAGAGCTCTTTAAACTCGACCAATGCTTTGTCTTCGATATACTTTTTGTGGAAATTGAAGAAGTGTATCAAGTCGTCAGCAAAGAAAGCTGGCGCCAGTTCCCAGTTTCTGTAGTTACCTTGAAAGCGCCGGATTCTTGGAATGTTTACCTCTTCGATCGCTTCCGGTTTAATGTAAGAGTTAATTGCGGCAATTGGGTCTTTCCTTGATATATTTCCCTTTGCACCCGTGGCCGTAAAGGGGATATCATTGTCTTGTTCTATCTGTAAAAGTTGACAATATGATTGGCGTGTAAAATTTTTAAACTGTTGTTGATTCGCTCGAATTGCTTGTATGAGTTCGGGTTTGGTGTGTTGTTTACGTTTAGCTGGTGGAGGTAATGGAATGTTATGTTGTTTGACAGAGTCAAATAAAAAATTTTTTCAATCGTCTAAAGTGCGATAAAGTCCGATGAGGTTTTGTTTTCGTATTTATATCTCTATTTATAAATATATGTAATGTAATGTAATGTATGTATGTGTGTGTGTGGGTGTGTGTGTGGGTACGTTTGTGTGTGTGTGTGAGTTTGTTTCTGCATTCAATTGGGGACCCTGAACAATAGAAGACAATAAGGTCCCCGATTGACAGAGGGTCCCCGATTGACAAGTGTGTACAAAACATATGGGTTGTCTTCTAAAAAAGTTTAAGTACAAACAAAAGAGGAACAATAGGGGGTCCCCAGTTGCGGGCAAATGCACACTTTGGATGGATGGATGGATGGATGTGTTTCACGCGTGGGTATATGGCACAAAGAATCACAAAGTACAAACAAAAGAGGAACAATAGGGGGTCCCCAGTTGCAGGCAAATGCACACTTTGGATGGATGGATGGATGGATGGATGTGTTTCACGCGTGGGTATATGGCACAAAGAATCACACAAGTTCGACACTTGACTTAGAACTTTCTGGAAGCAGCCATGTTTCACAAAAAGGGAAAAAGTGCAAAGTACTTTCTGAACAGCGCCCTCTGTTGGCTAGAAGGTGCACGGTTAATATACTGCATATATATTTGAGCCATTTTGCAGAGATTTGTTTTTCAAAATAGCTTCTTTTTTGGAGAGGGACATTATATGCATTTTATGGGTGGTCTGCTTCTGGTGAAAATTTCTCAAAAACTCATCGGTTAACCCCCAAATATTGAAAGGAAAATGAAAGAGGACATGTGGAACATCATCTTTCTGTGTAGCCTGAACACCTGTGAGAGTTGTGAGTATTTTTTTAATATTAGTGAAGTATGGGGATTTATCACTATTGTCTATTGGAATTTATTTCAAGTGGCGCACCCCAGGTGAATCACTATTTCGCCTGGGCAAAATAGTAATACGCCCGGGCGAAATATTAATACGCCCGGCGAAATAGTCCGTCCGGGCGAAATACAATCCCGCCCGGGCGAAATAGCAGGCTCAGTTGTTTTTTTTTTTCAGTCATGTCCTATATACGCCTCCGTACGATAAAATGCTATTTGTAAGAGAAATTTAAAACTTCGTTTAGGTTATCGTGGAACAGAGGACCGCAAAGTGGAAAAATTTCTGCATCCCTTTGTTGCATGGATTTTTGTTATTGACGTGAACCAGAATCGCGGGCTACTTTCAGCCAGGTGAAACACGTTATTTTCTCGCATGCTATGTAATGGAATTATTGCGACGGAAATGCATCCAAATACCCTGTATGTGTGTTGCATCGTCAATTTGATTCTCTTTACTCTCGTTGTTAATCATGTGCACGCTGAGGAAGTGGAAGAGAAAGAATGTCATAAAGGAGATGAAAACTGTGTTTCACAGGAGACTGCAGGGTCTGCGACTGGAAAGCGTAGATATCTAAATCCAAAAGGTACTGGGGGTTGGGACGTTCAACTGTAGGCCCTATATCTGCCTAGCCTATGGGCCGGTCGCGTCGCAGCCTACTAATTACCGTCAACACCTCGCAAACGTGTTCTTAATCTTTCCTATTCGACCTTAAAGATTTTATCAAAGAGACATTTTGCTAAATCACAAAAGGTAAAATGCTTGAAAATTGCCATTTTTAGTTCACAAAAATTTCTTCCTCTGACGTCTCACTCTCAACCACAGACACATAAACAGGTCGGGGACCAAACCACAATCCAGCGACGACGCGGGACCATCCATATGCATACGTGGCTCGTTTGCGCGACGATGACGTAATTTTTGAACTATTTTTAGATAACGGTTCGCAGATGACATCGATCTCTGAATCAGCAAAAACTTCAAAACAAATTCCTGCAATTGATCTAATTTACAGGAAACATGCCACCAAAGATCTAAACTAAACTTTGCTTTCATTTGGTATCTATAAACAGGATAAAAGTGGATTGAGGAGATTTTCCGGTCAAATCTTGTAGAAGTTTACTTAATGCATGAAAATGTTGCCAAATCTCGTTTACCGTGGTAATTTTCCAAAATAGCGATCAGAAGCAATTTTGCCATAACTCCAACAGTAACGGCAACAGTGGTCATGTTGGCTGCCGGCATTTCAAATCTCATTATTTTCTCAAAATTGTGCGGGAAAATTACATCGTTATCATGTGACCTGATAAAAATGACATCAATGCCGCTTGAGCAAGTGACATAAGCAGAAACTAGGGATGCTGCTAGATAGATTGTGGTTTGGTCCCTGATATTACAAACATATAAATGGGCAGATTCTATCGAAAAGAACAGCAGGGTACCGCAACCGAGATGGCACCCAACTAAATTCAAAAGCATGGCCAAATTCACCCCTCGGTATAGGGAATTTATGCACAGTTGAAGAATTGCAGCCATAAAATTCTGTTAAGCCATTTTTGGATTGTGAAAAAATCCACTGTTTACTTAATCTGGCCCATGAAGATTTAAAACAATGCAGTTGCATCATCTGAAATATCTGGATTTTTATGGATCTGTGGACTTTAAACCCTAACGCTACATACCTGTAATACCTCAAATTACTTGTAGTAAAATGTAGTATTCAGCCCTGTCGCTTGTAAGAGGGCATGATTTTATTGTTTTGTGAAGTGATAAGATACAAGCCATAAGACAGTGTACCATACAGTGCTGTGGCGCTGTGAATGCATAGCTTTATTGCTCTCTGTAAAAGTGACAATGGAAGTAACCTAGCCAGAACTCAAGTAGTAATTTGTAGTGCTAGGTCCTTCAGGCTCAGACTGCTACTTAGTATTTTGTAGTACTGAGTAGTATAAGCCAAACAGTATGCTTGGCAACCTCCAAGTTAATGTGTTAATGTGTTAGGGTTAATGTGACGCAGTTGTTCATACACATTGAGTGACTGTCAAGTGTCATGGTGGCGTGTTTTTATCAAACACAGCATAGGCTCAACTTTGATAGTGCCATTTTACTATTTGTTTTGCTCCAGATTATTTTAATTCCTTTAATTATATTACCTACGAAGAAACCAACCACGGATATACTGTACATGTTAGTACACCTACTAGATTTCCAAGCTACCATGGGTGATCTTATAACAATGCAAATGACAATTCCTGAAACCAACTGCAAATGCATGTGGGCTGAAACTCAGATCAAAGGGAGAAATGTATAATTATAGGAACATTTTCCTGAACTTCCCATGATCAGCAGGGAGAAAAGATTGATGAATTACATGTAAACATAGCATTATCAACGCTTGGCGACAAAATCAACAGTACATGATGTTATTGTTACTGGTGATTTTAATCTTCTTACAATAAACTTGGACAATCACTAAATTGTGTCAAGAAGTGGATATACATGTAGTTCAACCACAGCGGGAAAATTAGTGTCCCTTGTTGAATAATGTGGACTGTTCCAGCACGTGAAGCTATCCACTAGAATCCAAGGTAACTCAAGTAATGTTCTGGATTTTGTTTTTGCCAACAAGCCTGACTTGATAAAAAAAAACCTGTTCGTTGTCTATGGCATTGCAGATCATACTACAGTTGTCCTTAAATATAACATTTCGCCCAGATCAAACGTTGCCCTAAACGGAAAGTTTTTATTTGCAATAAGGCCAACAAGACGGGGATTCAGCATTTGTTTCAGAATTTCAGAGCGAAATATATAAATGCAACTTGCGGTCAGGCAGTCGATAAAAAATGGAACATGATCAGTTCCAAGATTACTGACATGAACAAATTTATACCTACTCGTATTACTTCGTCAAGACACAGCTTACTTTGGTTTTACACAAAAGCTGAAAAAAATCAGGAAACAAAAAAGACAGCAATACAAAAGCAAAACATCCAGATTACACATACATGTAGACTGGCAGTAATTTTGTGATACCCGCAAGGAAGTCCACAAGTGTTTACAATCAGCATGCCTAAATTGCATCAGACAATTCTTAAATCTTGCAATTACCGACAAACCTAATGCTTTCTGGAATTTCATTTCAAGACTGCGTCAGGACAACCAAGGGATTGGCATTTTGAACAGCAACAGGAATATCATCAGTGATGACATGCAAAAAGCAGAAATTCTGAATGATCAGTTTGAAAGTGTATTTTTGTAAATTATGTAATTCTCTTTAATTAAAATGTAAACAGTGAAATGTTTCTCGCACCTTTTCAAATGTGAATAGTGGAATGTACATGTATGTACTTCGCCTGTTTAAACATATGTGTACATGTAAGTAAACTCATTTTAAAAGCAATCAACATAGTTTTAATTAGGTCGTCCTGTATTTTAAAAGATATTTTTTAAATTTTACTATAATAAAATGTGTTGAATTAATTTAACAATATGTTTCATACATGTAATCTTATAACACACTAGCAGCACCTGTCCTCAGTGCAAATGTTACCTTCAGTTTTGTTTTTGAAATGTGTGTGGCAACCTTTTCTGTATTGGTGTCACTGGAGACGTCCGGTGGCCTTTCAAGAATTTCTTGAATACCAAGTGGCTGAGGTTCTTTCTTTGGTGGAGAAGGAGGCCTTGGTGAGCACCCTGTGCCTCTTGCTTTTTGGGGTCTCCCCCGTAACATTGCTCCTTGCACACACTACATTCTTCTGAATGAAGCGACCACGGGACAGGGATGTCTGGATGTGGGGTATTGTATCCTGTCCTTGAGAGGCAAGACTGGCAAAAATAATTAGGGTGCTGGAGAGGATTTTCAGCTGACATACTCGGCGAAATTCATATCTTACTTTTTTGCTTGCTTCTGTTCAACAAACTTGTGGGACTTACAACTTATACAGGGCACTCTGATTGAGCTGCCATCCCATTCTCTTGTGTTGGGAAAATTTTACTTTATATCCAGTTTTATCATCATTAGTCAGAGCCATCCTTCGTTCCTTTTTAGTGGTGTTTGGGTTTTTTGGTTTGAGTGAACTGTGTGTGACATTTTTGTGAAATTTCCATTTTCTGGACCTTGGATTCCTTCAATTTTTGTTCTACTACAGAATCGTTCTATGCAGGACAATGGCTGTCGCCGTAAGTGCACTCTACTTAACAGTTTTAATTATAATCATTGAACCTACGTGTACACATTGACTGCTTCAAATCTGACATTTCGCTGCAATCTTCTCTGGGAATTGGTGACTGTAAAGTTGTATGATTTATCTAGCACCAGAAGTACATGTAATACCCCCCTTTCCAAGTGGACATGGCCAGACTACCTTATGGATCCCTGATCATGAACTGAAATCTCCATTGAACATAACTATTTATATGGACATTGCTGTGAATCCAGGACCATCTTCAAACCTATTTTGGATAAGTGTGATCCTATCAACTCAAGCAGAAACATTAGTGTGATTAATACTACTGATACTGGCCATACTGCTGTCTCAAAAAGCAAATACAGATATACCCCACAGGAACTTTTACCGATTGTGCTTTCCACAATATCCCATTCAATTACATGTCCTTAAGATGCACAGGATTCAGAGGAAAGCGTGCTGGTATTTCCAACAGGCTTGTGTCAAGGACTAAGGCAAAGCCCACGTACATGTATGACAGTTGCCCAGGGATGACAAAGTCAAATGCTATCCAGATCCACATCACCCAAAGAGAAATCTACAGAAATATGAACTCTCGCTGCAGCAACTCAAACAACTTACAGTATGCACCCTCTGCAAGAAAGGCACTCCCTACATTGCCACAAATGTCAGTAACAGCCCACCATATTTTATGCTACTTAACGCTTGATCTCTTGTACAGTGCATGGATGAGCTCGAGTCAATGTTAAACCTCAATGAAATTCAGATTGCTGCCATTTCTGAAACCTGGTTCCCAGATATTGGTGATCTGTCGTACATGTACCTCTCCATCCCAGGCTACACTATTTTCAGCAAGCTTCGCACCAACAGGAGAGGAGGAGTCACTCTGTATAACATTCAGACAAGTAGTATAACAGAACTCAAAACTCCGAATTGTCCAGGTGTGGGTCTGCTTGCAACAACTCCCCCGCTCAATCTTGGGTTCGATATTGTGCGTTATTTATCATCCGCCATCATCTCCCCATGATGCACTGTTGAGTGATCATGTATCATCATCCTTAGACATGCTTCAAACCAAATATCCCAATTCAGGAATTGTTATTCTTGGAGACTTCAACCAACTCAATACTGACCAAATATGCCTTTTATCAGGTCTTGTACAAGTCGTTGCTGCCCTTATGAGAGGTCAGGCAATACTTGACAAGATTTTGACCAATATTCAGGAACACTGTAGCCAACCGTAGATTTCTTTGCCAGTAGGTCTTAGTGACCACAGTACTGTGCTGTGGTACCCTCTGCAAAATAGTGTTAAGCATAGCACTGTCAGTCAGACGATGTGTAGTCTGTCCTATCAAGGATTCCGACTTACATGCCTTCGGCCAATGGATAATCAACTATGAATGGGATGATCTGAGCAATGCTGTATCACCTGACAGTAAGGCTGCAGCTTTTTACCAAACTCTTTATAAAGCCATTGATTTATTCTTCCCAATGAAATCTGTGACTATCCATTTGAATGACAAGCCCTGGATAACCCCTGAACTACGGTAAAAAATCTCTCATTGCAAAATGCCAACGTGCCTTTTCAAAATAACAAGCTCCACCTGTGGCTTCTCCTGCAGAACAAAATAGCAAGAAGAATTAAACAAGCTAAAAACAATATCTACAATCTTCATGTGCGTAGGTTGAAAAATTATAACCTCAGCAGCTGGCATCATTACATAAAGAAACTCTTGGGCATCAAGTTCCACTCTCACATGTCTTCCCGGGTCATCACCTGCTGACATTGCTAACAAGATCAGATTTGTATCAGTGGCCAATGACATTCCATGTCTAGACCACAATAACCTACCTGCATATCTGCCTGCAGAATCACCAGTATCCTCAGTTTCTGCACATGATGTATACAAAAAACTAAAGAGAGTTCAGGCTTACGAGAGTGGAGGCCCTGATTATTTTCCCCCAAGACTGACAAAAGAGTTTGCATTCGAACTCTGTTTTCTGTTTACATATTTTCAACTGCTCAATTCAATATGGCATTGTTCTGGCTATCTGGAAAACTGCACATGTGGTACATGTACCTATTCCCAAGACACACCCTTCAACAATGGACAAATTGTGACCCATCTCTCTCACATGCATTTTTGTGAAGATTTTAAAGGATTTTGTCACTGCTTGGATTAACAAGACATTTGTAATGATATTTATCCTAATCAATTGGGGTCATTGACCATCTACATCTCATTATTTGGTTTGTTTTCTTAATGAAGTCTATAGGGGAACAAATAAACCTTATACATGTACCTCTGCTATTATAATTGCTACAGACTTCAGTAAAGCCTTTGACAGAGTTGATCATCAAAATTTAATCCCAAAATTTATTAAGTGTGGAGTTTGCTCTTGCATCATCCCTTGGATATGTAGTTTTTTAACCAACCGATCCCAGGTTGTTTGTCATAGTGGCACTTTATCAGAATGGTTGACTTCCCATGCTGGTGCTCCGCAGGGCACTAAACTTGGGCCAATTGCCTTTCTAACAATGATAAATAATGCAGGTTCATCCAGTGATGAAATCAAACAGTGTAAATATGTGGATGACATGTCTTTTTGTCAGGTTACCACAGAACCTGGTCATTGTCAAATTATGCAGCTGGAAATAGATCGTTTTAATCAATGGGCCTTGTCAAACAACATGAAACTTAATCCTTTTAAGTACAATTTTATGTTCATTAATTTTGAACTATCCACATTTTTGGATCTTTCTACCCTGCAAATTGGGAACTCACCCACCAATAGAGTTACCTGTTTAAAAGTTCTTGGTGTTCTCGTTCAAGATAATTAAAAATGGGACAACCAAATTGATTCTATGTGCAAAGCATTTAATTGTAGACTGTTTTACATAGCATGATTCCCATTTCTGATTTAATCACCATGTATCCCAGGAGACTGCGATTTAAAAAAAAACAAGAATGTCTGAACAATTACAACAAAAAGCATTCCGCATAATTTTGTCTTTCTATCGCGTTAACCTCTCTTACGGTGAAACCTGCTTACAATTTAATATACCTCCTCTGTTTCAAAGTAGAAAGCAGTTGTGTTCCTGTTTTGATAAATCCCTTCTTCACTCCAACAAATTCAGACACCGGCTTCCTCCCACAAGGAACAATGGCTTGAGGAATAACAATCATTTAAGTACTTCCAGATGCAGGACAAAGTGGTACAAAGGAAGCACAATCCCTTATCTAACAGACTTGATAAATACGGACATGCTAAAAGTCTTTTATAATACATCCTGAGTCCTTTGGACTTCTCATGTTTCCATTTTGGTCATGTGATCAACCGTCTCTATTTTTGGCATCCTATTCCTCCAGTTAGATTCTGAGGATAATAATGTATTCATAAGCCAAAATCCTGTTAGCTGTATTACACAGTTGTCCTGAAGAAGATACTTGTGATGGTGAGGGTTGCTTTTGGGAGGTTTGGGGTTAGTTTGCGTTGTGGTGGGGGGGGGAGTTTGTACACATTGCATGTGTGTTTGTTGGTACGTTGGTTTGTATGCATGTATCTAGTGTTCATTTTGGCTTTGTATGTCATTTTGATCATTCAATTGTTTGATAAAATTTTGGTATTTTCATCAATCGATTTAATATTAACTTTTTATTTGATGTGTATGCAGTAAACTCTGACTTAGTCGACATCACGTAACCCGTCATATCGTCCCAAGTTGGCCGTTTGACAAAAGTCCCGATCGTCTGTAATGCATATCCATTGAAAGTTTCTTTTCTAAGTTGGAATTTATAAGTCGTCATTTCGACTATGTCGGCATGTTTTTCTTGGTCCCTTTTCCACAAAACCACAAAAATTCCTTTGTGTAAGTCGCCATTAAAAAAATCCTGCTTCGGTATCGGTTTCCTTCACCACGGTTGCTAAGAAGTGGCAAGTCCCATGCGCGTGCGGCCAGCATGAGTACATCAATACCAGTAATCCCTCTAGTGCTACACGCATGCACTCTGTCCATTTTGGGGGTTGCCTTATGGAACGTAGTCTGGTTCCCTGCCCAAAGATTCCCGGACAACCCTTGATAATGATTCGTCAGATAGTCAGAATCATCAGGTCTGGTATCCAGACTATATTGAACGAACTTAACCAATGCGCGTGTGTGAATGAGTGTATGTTTTCTGTATGGTACATCACGTACATACGTACTGCACTGTAGGGTCGTGATGTGATATGCAAGTGGCTTGCCGTCCTTGCTTTGTCCTTCTAAAGGGGCACATGATCAGTTGGCAGGATAATAATCGAGAATGAATTTGCTGGGATCGACCATGGAGGTAGAAATAAACCAGGGTAAATCAAAGCCGTTGAATTAGTGCAAGGAATCGTAATGTACATAGGCAATACATGTGTACGTGTAAGTCAGCATTCGCGTAAGTCGTCATAATTTCTCGAGTCCCAAGAGTGCCTACTTAATGGGAGTTTACTGTACCGGTACTTGTATTTTTTTACTGTTCTGTTTTTGATACAGTTCATTGTTACTTTTATAGTTTTAATGTAATAATTGTAAATCAAACTGAAATCCAACCTTTGGCTGCAAGACTTTGGTTAATAAACCATTAATAATAATAATAATTATAATAAAATCAATGTTTACCGCAAACATGACACGGGGCATTTAGAACCTCTATATAAGCTCCATTTTTGAGCTTCTAAAAACATCAAAAACGACAGAAGAAATAGTTTGAGTAAAAGAGGCACTCGTGAACCACTGGGTACAAACACTTGTCTTTCATTTATCAGTACTTGGAATGCTGAGAAAAGTTTTTTAGAATTTTAGTAATTTTTATGAAAAATCACACACAATTACACCACCTTAGCAACCACCTTTTGTTAATTTTTACCCTGCACAGGTATTTTGTGTCTTTGAAAATTAAATCTAGTAATTTGAAGGATTAAACTTCACAAAAAAATGTATGTATCTTACCATGATTTGTCTTTGAAAACCCAGTAAAACTCATTTACACAATAATGTTTAAATGGTCTTGGCCTCTTCACTAAGCAGAATTGAGGTCAAAGTTTCAGCTGCTCACATTTGATGTACACGCAGTACACTCAAACTAAATGAACACATGGGCTTTGTGTGTATGTGTGGTGCATGCATGGGAAATTTGCATGGATATGGAGGTATATGTAGACATGTGCATGTTCATGCACACTGTACATATCAAAAGTACAGCATGACATTAACTGCAGTTTACTAACCTCAATCCTGAAAATGCAATGTACTGTATACTGGTAACTGAAAAAAAAAGACTTTCCATGACAATTTTCATGACAATTTCCCTGACATTTGAAATTTCCAAGTTTCAGCTCTTTATTACCCACTTCAGGAGAACTACTTGTAGATGTAATTTAGCACTTTCATTTACATGTACATGTACATGTAGAAGTAACTTTTAATGAGTAAGAATTGAAGCTTTGCATGGTGGAAGAGATGTGATGTGGAATCAATCTCTTTAAACGTTGAGTTAACACTAACGGGTTCTTTTAAGAACCACACCAAAAAAAGATTGATTCCATGGTGTACCAGCAAACCCGTATCTCGTAACTTTTGATGCCGAAGCAAATGTTGTGTAAGGATTCAGAGGGCCGCATTTATTGTTAAATGACTGTAAGTTATGTTCATCATTTGATAAATCGTCCATCTGACAGGCTAAGGGGTATATTTTTATTGTGTTAATTGTTTGAATTTGAATAATCAACTGTTTAATCCTCTTGTTTTACAGATGAAAAGTGGCAGCCGTATCTCGATGCAGTAAAATCAGCTTTAAGGCAGTATAAAGACTGTGAGCAAGATACAGGTACTTGCACATGTTATGACAGGTATTGGTACAGTTTCATCTTTCATTGAAGGTGTAAAATTTTTTTTCCTGTAGGTGTTGGGGGAGAGCAAAGAAGGTTGTTTCCATTCCCAGAAATATTTTTTAACAAGATAGAGGAAAACTGAAAGATACAAAAGGCAACAGTAATGAAAAGAGATGAAAGCAATAATTCACTAAAAGAAAAACTGACCCCCTACCACTTTCAATAAATTATCAGTTCCTGCTGATTCACGTGTGTTTTGCCTCCCCTCCCCCAGAAAATTTCCCAGAAAAAAGTGCTCCTCCCTCCCTTCACCCCCACCAAAACCTTTGTCATGCCCATATTGATCTTGTTTTAAAAACTGCTGTAATTATGAAAGTTTGAGATGTTCCTTACAGAAAGTGATTTAGTTCAAGTAAAAATGTGGGATTTAAGACCGGTTAAAAATCATGATGATTAATAGATAACTCCAATCGATTATTTCTATGGTTTCTTTATTTAACTTTGAGGGACGGTCGGTTGGGAAAAGTTACTATAAGTACTTGCTTCCCCTAAGATTCGTGTTCGTCTTGTTTTCTTGGTAGGAAATTTTAGTCTGGGTCAATTAAATAACAAAAGCACACATACTTTTTCTCTGAGACTCCATACAGGTTGGCAGCATAATCCCTCCCCTCAATTACAGCAAAACATTAGGGTTGGTCAGAAATACAGCCACAGAGTTACAATGTACTTGTAAGTGCGGATATCCTTCACTGAAATCCTAAAAATTAGAAGCCATTCCCAGACCTTACCTAACTTGCTACTGTTGCCATGACAGTTTTGTTGCTAAGAGAGGAAGCTCATACTGTCCTTGAGTTTGGCCAATAAGTACAACCATGCAGGGTCTGTTGCACCTCTCCCATGCTCTCCGGGCCCAGTTTTCACACTTCTTTCTTGACAATGTACCAATGGGGGGGTTGTTGACATCTGTTTACTTTGTACACTGAACCTATATGCTACTGTACATGCAGCTGCAATGGAGCAGAGACTTTGCAAAAGCCTGGAAACCAGAGCTTCACATTTTTGGTGTTCAGAGGTAAATATGCACTCCTTACATGAAGTTAAGACTGGCCCCTTTTGTCTCTATCATCTTCAGAGGCATAATATTAAACATATTTTGGAACACAAATTTGGAACACTACAAATCCTTCCTCCACTTAGTAGTGTTTTCCTAAGAATCATCTTTGAATTTGAATATTTCTGACATGAAATGTCTAACATGTAAGCCAAGTTGACATAATGCTGCCACTCGTGCACAGCTTAAAAGTATCCGCACTCAGGCACTAGTCGAGTTGCTGACATGATCTGTCCGAAACCTTCCGAAGGGCAAGAAACATCTATGGGCGACAATATCCCAGGAAGTCAGAATAATGATTCAGTGGACATAAATTTGAAGCTTCAATTTGTCTACTGTATGATGTGAACGCCGATTATTAAAGAAAGGTACAATGCTATCCTTAGCAGACCATTTCTTCCAAAAATGCTGTTCTTTTGCAGTGTGCGAATACATGGACATGAATATCTTGTTCCTTGAGTCCTTGCATGTTACTCTTAGGGGATTTCTTAACAGGGAACAGAAAATGAAAATGCAGCAATTATGTGCTCTTGGGAATGGGAAGGTCTAATTTAACAATGACTGTTCATGTCAAAGCATAATACCTTCCAAAAAATGATTCCACTGTTTGAATGGAGTGTTTGAAGAGCAATAAATAAATTAATCTGATCCAAATATCTTTTATCAATAATCCAACATTTTAGATGACAGGGGTTGTGATATCAGTGTACAGTATATCTACTTGTTACGCTTACAACACTTTCAACTGATTTCATTTGTGTCAGAGTATACATGTAGCTTTTCTGGAATTTTTAAAGAGCTATGAATTTTCTCTGACATTGCCGCGGTCCTTAACAACAGGGCCAAATTGTGGTGAGCATGTGCAGTTAAACCTTGGTGACATTTTAGACAAGCTTCTTTCATGGAGTCAATTTTTGTGTCTGTGAAAGTGAAACATGAGGGTCATTCTATAAATTCGGGTTCCAAAAGTGTGACCTTTTTGTGTTCCTGTTACACCTGACCTAAACTATTTCTGTTTGCAGGTAATCTGCATTAATTCATCACTCTTGAAATTTACATGTGTTCTTAACTTACAAAATCATACATCAGATGTTACAGGGACACACACAAAAATTGGACCCCTTATTAATAAAATGACGCGTGACTCCAGTCTGCAACATACCCCCAAAAAAGTGCACATGGAAAGGTGCCTTTAGTGGCTGAAACCGTGGAGATTCCGGCAGGTCATCAGGCTGTTATGCCTGGTAAAGGCATCATCCCCAAATTGTCCATGTGTTCCAGGATGTGGACATTTCACAGAATCACGAAGAGCATGCTAATCCCTGCCAAACAAAAGAGAAGTTAGCAACACGGCGGACAGAACACAACATGCAAGCTTTATGCAAATTACCAACATCATGAATATGCCCAATCTTCTGCATATTGGCTGGCAATCTTTGGCAGGGCGAATCCCTTTGAATTAGCACATGGCAGAGTTTCCGCTAACCGACCAGTCAACTTCCAGTTGGAACAAGACAAAATGCCGAATGGCCGCCAAGTTAAAAACCACAGGTTTTTTTGTTTAAGTCGGTCGGTTGCCCGAAATGGATGCATATGTTTAGGTACTCTACAGGATTTGCATATACTGCAGTTTGCCAAAATTGACTGATTTGGGGGTTTGTGACTTATTTTACATGTATGTATCATCATATATTAATGCAGCTTTGCAGTTGCAGTTCAATAAAACACTGCCATCACAAGTTTTTGTGCAGGTTCATTCACAAAAATTGATCTCACATCTAAGTTTGTGTTTCCTGTGTTCATGTATATTTGAAGATATACATGTACTGCTCGTACTTGAAATGAGTATGTTCCCACAAAGTTTCCAGCCACAGCACGAGACTAATCACCCACCCTCCAGATGCGTCATGCACACTTACAACGCGATACACAGACATTGTTTGCCAGTTTCCTTTAGTCATGACAAGCGTAAAGCATAATTCAAAAAAAGTAATTTTTTACATTGATTACACAAATGTCAAACAAAAATTCCTTTCCTAATTCTGATAAAAATATGCCCAAATAAGTTAGCTTGACTACTCTCATATCTAAAGAGCCTAACTAATCACCCAAACTGAATTATGCATACATGTATTCAGCAAAAAGATCTAGCGTGCCCCACGTATGTTTCGGTGGGAAATTATTAACTGCACATGTCCCAATTTTAGGGTCATTTGCATGCGTAACGAGGGCCATGGGAATTCATGCCAGGCAAACAGCTGCTTCGTTTCATGTCTTAGTTTCACATTTGAAATAAAAATTCCTGCCCAAAATGTTTTCATGTTAAGATAAGGCCTTTTCCTATTGTGTTTTGTGAAAATAAAATTGAGAAATAGTACCAGACTCATCAAAACCAGTGATTTTGTGAAAGGCTTTTCTCGTATAGCGGTAGTTTTTTAACGTTTTGATGCCATTTTTGAAGGTTCAAAACAATGAATTTGAAATTTTCCTGAAGCTTTCAAAAGTGGGCTTTGGAGGAGAAAGGTCTGACGGCTTTAGATTTGCTGAGGGTTTTGCGCTAGATTTTTTTCTCTTCCTGACCGGATGCATTTGCATATATATATCGACCTAATTCACCTAATTCAGCACCGATTCCGTTTATCTGGTATAACATTATGGCCTTGCGAGTGGTGCATAAGAATTCAGTGACTCGGGAATGAAATATGAACACAAAAGTACAGTAAGTTAACATGAAGTTTATTTTTGAAATCGAAGTTTATCATCATTATAAAATTGCCAGAAAAATGTTGAAATTCACAGTGTATATCCTCAGTTTTACATGTACTATACCAGGTACGCGCATGAACCACATGAACATATACACTGGTTCCGTCGAAAATTTCCATGTACAGTCAAACACGATTAACACGAGCACGCTTGAGACAAGATTGCACTTAAGATGAGCATATTTCTTCAGTCCCGTTCAAAATGTTCAAAAAGCTATGCTACGACGAGAACACGAACAAGAAAAGCACATTTGCCTACATGTAACCGGCAGTGTCAAAAATCATTGTCCATGGCATTTGAAGTACAATTGAAAAGCATCTTCAAAAGCTTAATTCCAGTCATCCCAGTAAGTAATTTCTGATGGGGTTCTCTGAAAATGCTAAGCCGCTCCGCAATTTGTGCTGCGGTTTTGCCAGTGATGACTTGGCGACTCTGACTCTGTTCCTTGTGCTGCTAGAGGGGGGTTTATTCTAGACGATAATAGGTGTTGTGATGTCATGGCATCAAAGGAGTTTTTATCACAGCGGGCGGGGTCCCAAAAAGTGTTGTTGTTTTTTTTAAAGGGTCCATGTGGAGCTCCCCGAACGAACAGCCATTTTTTCTTTATTTTGTGCCTGGATATGTCAGTAACAGTACAATTGGTGAAAAAAATGAATAAAATGTATTTAATTATTGTTAATTACTGATTTTCAAACACTCCCCCCCCTAAAATTTCTGACAAACGGTGTGACGTACGTTTAAGAACCAACAAATCGTAGTCTAGTGTCATTTGTGCCGTCTGAAACCCAGAGTAAGCACGCACGGCTTCCTTCGCAGCGGCGTACGTGGAAATATCGTAGCCTTTTCCGTTCGCGCTTCTCTAAGGCTCCTCTTCGTTTTTCTGGTTTTTTTTCTTGGACTTCTCACATGGTAGGAATATCGTCGGCACTGCATCCGGTTTTAGCAGCTTCTTGAACTTCATGCCAAATGAATCTTGCAGGCTTGCAATAAGCTCGAAACATTCCGGCTTGAAGTGGTCGCTGCAGTGTTTCGAGCTCGGCGTTGTTCCAGTCCACTTGGCCCATGTGAGCTTGACTTTTGTGGCCCAAATTTTGCAATATTTCATGTCTTTTGGGAAATTATGGATGCTTGCGCCATTTTT